AATCTGCTTTATATGTACATTTTGGGAATAATGACTGATTTGTTTATGGCACTGGTTTGTTTATGGTTTGTTTTTGGTAGGTGGGACCAAAGAGTTGGTGTTGGGAGTAGGGAGGTCCTTTCCATTTTTAATGGGCTACAGAGAGTGGGATTTAACAGTTTTTCTCTTAATAGGGTTTTTTTTTTTTTTTTTTTTTTTATGGGCCAAGAGATTGAGAGGTGGAACTGAGGTCAGCCTTTCTCATTTGGGGTAGTTGCTATTCATGATCTAGAACTGGCTACATAATTTGCAAGATATAGTGCAAAATGAAATTATAGTACCTCATGTTCAGAAATTATTAGGAACATCCAGACTAACAATAGAGCAGTAAACCATGTTTGGGATGCTGTGGGACTGCACAAGTTGTACACCCACGAAGTCTATCTTTTATAAGTACTTCTTGCAAAGAGAAAAGTATACACTGAAGAAGAAAGAGTTTAGGTTCTCAACAAATGATTTCCCCAAACCCATATCCCTATTTTATACAAGCTAACATGTTTCTCTTCACCCCCTTAGTTGGGGCTGAGGGAAGGAAAATGCCGTTTGCACAGTCTTTTGTGTGCTTGGAGCTTACGGGCCTTGAAGGATAATGGCAGCAACTAGAATTGAGTTTGTTTATCCATTTCACACTTCTGCACCTCTTGGAACGTGTGTATCTTCTTCCCACATCACCACTGGCATTACCTCCATCATCAGCTTGTTAATGGTGCTAGGAATGTGGACTTATCTGTTCATGTCATTTTTATCCCTGCTGTTTTCCTGAATGAGCTCATGGCTACCATTGGCCTGCCCACCTTATGCAGGTCAACTAGATGGAGAAGAAATTTTCTCTAGAAGGGATGTGTGTGTGTGTGTGTGTGTGTGTGTGTGTGTGTGTATACACACACACTCTAGAATGCCTCTTATTCTGGATGTGTGTAACATGGCCCTTGTATTAGGTTTGACTTTACCCTAAATATGCCAACAATCAGGTAGGAACAAAGCAGATGAAATAGGGCTTTTGACTAAATGGGTAGGGAATGATGATAGCAGATAACAATATTTTGGTGATGAATGTTAATTTAGTTACAATGTTAGTTCTTTACCGTAGAGGCTTCAGATGTTTTTAAGAAAAAAACTTCATTCTTTGAGGTCATTTGTGTAGTGAATTAAAAAGAAAATGAAATTCACCGAAGCAATTATGTATATACTGGGCAGAAAGGTGGAAGTGGCAAAAGGACTTATGTTAGAACCCAAAGTAAATTACTTTTCTTCTGTATATAAAGCTAATGTCTCAGAAAGGAGGCTTGAATTTATCATATTATTTATTGATTTGCTTTTCACTGGTCCAGTTTAGTTCTTTAGACACAGCTGTTGTATTTTGTAGTATAGCAGTTGGATGTTCTTTTTGAGGGCTTATAGTCTGTTGTATTTCTGTCTCATTCCTATTTATAAAAACAGCTGTTTTACTGAAAGGTGTATTCTAAAAAATATTTATATGACCTTACAGCTCAACTCAATTCATTCTTCTTACCAGTAAAATATTACTACCAGTAGCAATGTGGATCCTTTATAAATCAGATAACTGCAAAGTTTTTTTTTTATAGTCTAATGGTTAAAATTGATCACTTCAAACATTATCTGCCACCCTAAATAGGAAGATTTGAGTGATTGGGTTTATTCATTTCTGAAGAAGCAGTTATACTCAAGGAGGAAAAAATTAAGAATTTCCAAAAGTAATTTAGTATTTTTTATAAATTTCAAGTATACAAACAATGCTAGATTTAAAATACTTTGAAACAGAAAAATGGTATATGTCTGGTTTGGTTTTTGACAGTAACAAATAAGGGCAAATAAAATTGTATTGTAAAGGAAGCCTTTGTATTAATATAACATTATCTATTGGGCAGATTATTCATATAAATAACTTCAATAAACTTTTAGTTTGTTGTCAGAAATATTGATGAGCCCCATTATACTAAAACTGACTTCTGTTAGTGATGTTGTTTTTAATGTTCTGATGATTTCTGGTACAGTCCAGAATGAAATGGCTTTTCCCTTGAGATGTAATAAAATCTGTTTTGAGAACATTTGTGTAATTGTCTTGTTTATACATCATCTTTTTCATTTAGTGCAACATTTTGTGTTAATCATCTTTTTAATGTAGAGATTACCATATATATGTCCCTTTTGTGTGCATGTTAATAATATGTTAAATATTCTTACACATTTTTCTAAAATTTTGGGTAGTATTGTAGGGGTGACAGTTGGATGTTGTTATTAGAAAAAAATATTCCTGTTAAATGTATTCATATTTTATGTTCTAACATAAATGACATTTCAGGGGATAAGAAATTTAAAAGTGATGACGGAGATATTAAGATAATAGAGATATTTAGGTGTAATTACCAGAGGCCCCTGGTTTTTAATATTTTAACTTTATGGACAAGTTTCCAAGGATTCTCAATACTTGTTATTCCCTAAACATGCTTAGAACTCTTAAGTACTAGAGATTCTCAATCATATGCTGACAGAGTTGTCCTACTTTCCAAAGTCATAATGCCTTCAAATATTAGTTACAACAGAAACTATGGTATTCTCATTTAAAATTTAGATCTGATCATTCATAAGACAGCTTAAACTTCAGAGTTTCTAGAATTCACATAACATCAAAAGTCAGAAAAATTCTTGTTTCCCTCTGTTAAAGTCAAAAACATTTCTACACCTCTGAGTAAATATTTCCAGTTCCATTTTTTTAAAGTATCACAGCATCTAAATGTAACTTAAATGTTTTATAACTGACTGGTAAATCATTCTTTTGCATACTTCCCCATCACCCTCTGTCCCTTTCCCTCAATTTGCTTCACATACCTAACATAGCACTCTGTGAACAAATATTTAAAGGATTGTTACAGTATATTTTATTTGTATCCTACAGTAATTTATTTACATTTTAGAAGAAATTTGAATACAGTGTGGCAATTTTGACAACCCAGCAAGCTCATCAAAGATTCTATCTGTAATCTCATGATATACCAAATGGTTCCCCTGTTCCATGTAACAGAGACAGGGATTGTGTGCGGTTTACCTTATAGATAGGAAAAGAGGAGCTGACGTCTAGTATCACTTAGCCCTTTTTGAGTTCTTTAAACTCTTGTAGTGTATGAATTTCTTTGAAATTCACCTAAATTCAAATTGCTCACCAAAGCAACTGAGAAGAAGAATGTGCTGATTAGAGAGTATGTGTTACCTCATTCTTTCTACTGGTTGTGAAGAACCTAGTTTCTACATACAAGCTAGACCCGCAAGTGAAGAAAAGTGTGACTGTTAGCAACATGTTCATTTAAATAAATGATGCAGAAGTGTTCTACAGGAACTGTAGTGTATATTACACAGCGGTAGAACAAATTTCTGTTCATATGCTGTTTAAATGTCAAAGGTTAAATTACTGGGTTTTTCTTTATTTTCCATTGCAGAAGTATTCATTGAGTTCCTACCATGTGCCAGGCTCTTGAATGAGCTAACTAATGAGAGCCTTGTAAGATTTTTCTGTTCCAGATTTTGGTTGTTTAGCTTTGAAATAGCCATTCTTAAATACTTAACTTGAATTCCTGTAGTTCTTTACTTATTAGATTCTTCTTCTGAGGATAAACAGAGAAAGACTGTGAGACCTAGATTTTTCTTTTAAAGAGGCAAGTGACAGGAAGCAAAAGACAGTGGCTTGAATGAGATTTAGGTTTCTCATGGTTTTTAATTTTCTATATGACATTTCTGTTAGCATTGCCACTTGACTACTGTAAGAAACAGTAGTCTGTTTACTGGTTTTGTAATAGTAGCATCTGTTCTTTTGGAACCTGGACTTTGAAAACTCATTTCACACAATCATTGAATAGCCAATTCCTATTCTCTCTTCCCTAGAATTTTTCCAGGGCATTTCACATGACAGGTTAACAGAAGAAAATTCATTTGGACAACTCTTCTGTTACATTTGTTTCCCTTCCCCCTTGGGCCCCAGAGATAAATTCTTACCATCTCTTCCTGCTAATTGACCAGCAGCACCCTGGAATACTATCATCACTTTGTCCAAAGGAATGGTGTAGTTGTATTTAAAGAATAAAATGTTATGTCCCGTCTGTTCCTACCTATAAAAAAAATCTTTTTTCTTTATTAAATTAGATTTTTAAAAATAGGAGAAGTCAAGTAACAGAAATTTCAAGAACAGTTAGCACTAGAATTTTGATGCACTTTAACATAAAAATCTTTTTTTTCCCCTTTTTAATCACATTTTTTTAATAGAAAATATAAAATGAAAATGTAACAAATAGTCATCACTTAACTTGTAGTCCATTTGTTAACTTAAGTGAGATAATCTGGATCTATATTTTTCTAGTAAAATAGAGCATATGTTTGTATATAAAATACAGATTGAGTTTAAAAATGAAAGTTGAGCATTCTTTGTCCTTTCAAATGTAGGGCTAGCTTATTTTAGGAGCTATTTATTATTGTAAAATTCAAAATGAATTGCATTGAACTTTTTACTAAGTTTGCAAAGTATGTGAAATCTGATTAATGGAGAAGTAATCAAATACAAACTTGATGATCTTATATAAGACGTTATAGTTTTCCTGGAAGTAAGATTTAACCAGATGTTAAAATAATGCATATATGATTGTAAGAGAAAAGATTGCCATTGCTGTGGTAATTGACCACTTTAGTAATTTCAAATTATTTTAGTTTTATCTTCTCAGTTCTGATTTGGTATGGTAAAGCATTATTTGAAAAATGAGTACAAGAAGAGTATATGCTGAAAATATTACTGCTGTTAGAGAACCAGCTGCAAGTTAGTGCATGCTTCAGGGAATATAAATGAATGCAGACATTTTCTAACTTGATTTAGATGGTCTGACCTCCCAAGAAGTATCTGTATGTATGTATACTTAGAATATATAAGAAATGTTAAGTCTTTTTCTTCCCCTTTTTAGCCTTAGATTGTAAGCAAAAGAAATCAAGGTCAAGATCCGGAAGCAAGAAGAAACTTCTAACATTACCTCATGGTGCTGACGAGGTTTACATTCTCCGATGCAGGTATATGCCTGTATTACCAAATCTGCTCAGTTTCTTCAGATTTTGCTTTGAGACGTACTAGTTATTTTATTTTAGATTTTTAATTTGTGACTGAAGGTGCATTCTCAAAAATCAAGTTACAAATGAACTTTCAGAGACAGACTTAAAATCTTACATGGCTCATAATATGCTGTACTTCAACAAATAATCAAGTTTTTTATATTAGTGAAGGGCCTCTATGATACTGTGATTTGTAAAAGTGGCTTTTTTTGTTGTGTTTTATTCGTGTTCTTTGTTTGCTTTAATTTGATGTTTTTCAAATTGTCTTGAATTCCTGCTTATTGGAAATATATTTTCTCTCCACTCGTACTTCTGAGTGTAGATATACAGACTCATTCACACTTCCTTCCATACTCATCCTCACGCAATTTAAGCAATTCTAAATTGAGGAGTGCATTTTTTTATTTTGAAAAAAAAAAAAGTGCATTTTGGAATTAAGATGTGTAGGTATTGAGACCTTTTAATTAATTTTCATAGTAATGTTCCCATCTCTGCAGGTATTACTGGAGTTAGTATGAATTGGCAGTTTTGATATTACATGTTATCATTTTGACCTCACGAGTATTTAGAAACTGTTGTCAAGAACTATCTTCAGTATAAAGTTTGCCGTTTGTGTTTATGAATTTTATGGGAATTGGGTTTTTTGGGAGAGGGGAATTGGTTTTAAGTAAAGGGAATTGCTTACGTTAAGTAAGAGAACTGTTAAATAAAGGGAATTGGTCATGTTAAGAGAACTGTTATCAACTTCCTCTGTAGGTTTTGTGGCCTAGTCTTTCGTGGACCATTGTCTGTTCAGGAAGACTGGATTAAGCACTTACAGCGACACATTGTAAACGCTAACCTTCCACGGACTGGAGCTGGCATGGTGGAAGTCACATCACTACTCAAAAAGCCTGCCTCCATTACAGAAACTTCATTTTCTCTACTAATGGCAGAAGCAGCTTCATAGAACAAGAAAACCTTTTAAATAGCAAATCTGAATTGGATGTAAATTTGAAATTCTTTGTCTTTTTTTTTCAAAGCCACATTAAATTATCCATTTATAAATACTAAAGCAGGAAAACGGGGAAAAGTGAATGACAGTGACATCAGAGCAAATTGAGTTCTTCAAACAGTAAGTAGTCTCTATATTTTATATAGGATGGAAAAGGTGTTTCTAAGGTTTACTACATTTAGTCAGTTAACTGTTCACTCAATGAAAGATCAGTACATGTAAGCAGTCATTAATAAACTGTTACACATGGATACTTAAAGATAGGCTTATTGGAAAATTATGTTTTCTGCAGTGTTACCAGAATCAAAGTTCTGTTTATTCCCCACAAGACTTGCATTGAAAAATATTATATTTTGTTTGTATATATTTAGTGTTTTGTATAATACCAGGAACTGCTAACTAAATTTACTCAACTTAGGGCATTAAATATCATGTACTTCATAGTTTGAGACTGTTCACTCAAATAGGGCAGAGTACTATTCTATCTAGACGTGTAAGTGTTTTTTTAAAATCACATGGAACGGTTTTTTTTTTTTATACTAAAAAGTGGAGGGAGATTTGTTTAAACAAGTATTTCTAAAAGAAATATGTACATAGTCCTGGAAATTATTTGTGGTAAGGAAATATTCTTTACTCCAGTTGCATTTCTCAGACAATAAAGTGGTGCATCCATGCTACCTCCTACTTTGTCAACAAAGATGCTATTTACCCTTTACATTTTTGTATCATAATAGATTTTAAAAAATCTAATATTCTTTATTGCAAGACATGCTTTTGTTAACAGATTTGTTTCTTTTTAATGTTTTACCTAAAATTTGACATGCTTACAGGACAGGTTTGCCTCTTTATTTAACATTGTAGAAATGTAATTAATAAACAATGCTCACTACACGGTTTAGAATAGGCTTTCTCATTTATAGTCTCTTCCAAATTTGATCAGTTAACAAAACTTAATACACCAATTGAAATATTTCTATATATGATGAGAATGTTTACAATTAAATTTTAGAACTTGTTTTGGATGTGATTATATGTACGAAAATCATGTAACACTATGCTCATGCTAAGAACCGACATAATGAAATTACTGAAATAAATGTGCTGTGAGGAATGGAAAATATGGTGCAGATGTCTTGGTCATGATAAATTGTGATTCTCCTTTTAAATTCCTTCCAGAAACAGATTAGTTCTTTTAATCTGAAATCAGATTCCTTTACAAATAACAGTTTTTGTATGCAAGCACCATTTCATTTTATTTCATGTAGTATGGCTAATACTATAGTTGAAACAAGGATATGCATTGATACTTTTCTTCGTATGTAAATAAAGTTAAAAACAGTTAAAATGAGTATTTTGGTAGAGTATATATACATACCTCACTGCCAGTGAAATTGCTTTCCTATGATATATCTCCTTACCAGAAAAATCTCTAAATAAAAAAAGACTTAAGAAAATTATAATGTCTATAGTGTGAAACATTCTTATTTTTATCACTGGTGGAAAGTGTCCACTTGAGGTTGTGTTTCATTTGATTTATGTTGTTTATACATAGCTGGTTACTTAGTCACACACTTGATATGTAAAATTAGGAAATTGAATTAAATGAATCATTCACAACCAATGGTCTCCTGATCTCTGGAGTATATACTAGATAGGAAAAAGTATTTGTACTTGTATAAAGTTATTTTCATTTTTCCAAAGATGTAATACAAACTGTGTATGTCTCCATAATGATGAGTCAGTCTAGCCAAAACATCAAATTTCTTAACTTCTGACTGAAAATACACCAAGTCTGGGTTTACCAGTATTCTCATGTTAGGTTTCATTGATATAAGTATATTCTATATTCAAATAGAATATATTTTTTAAATTGGAAGTCGTACTACTGCATAGCAAATAGTGTTCAGAAATTAAGTGGTTAAAAAAGAATCCTGGCAGGAAGACTAGCAATCACCAGAGCCCCTTTCAACTCTAATTTTTATAGTTCTTTGTTTAATTTTATTAAACCAGCTGTCAAGCTGTAAGAATACAAGTAGAATAGGTAGTTTGACCACAGATTTCATAAGCAAACTTAGATTAAATTTTTTACATTAAACTGTTTTAAAACAATGTTTCTTCAGGATGTAAGAAAGAATTAAATTATCAAATAAAGTAATTCAAATTGGAAACAGTAAGCCAGAGGGATTCCTGAAAAGTAAATTAAACAAAGAACATTTCTCATAATAAAGATACTTGGGTTACAAAAATTTTTTAATTTCTTGGGGAGCACAGTTCATCTTTCATTTGGCAACTAGAAAGTTAATGATATATTTTCATTTGCCTTCCACTAAAAAATTATAAAATGTTGTTTTAAGTTATATGATAGACTTTCATGTTAAAACATGTGCTACTTCAGTATTCAGTATTGTCAAATTGTCTTTTACAGTTATTTTATCATTGATAAAATATTTGAGCTTCTTTTTCTTTTTTTAAATAGTATTGATTTATTTAACAGCATCAAGACAAAAAAAGTTAACCTCTTCAAGTTAGTATTTTCCACTATGCTTCTTTAGAATAGATTAGAACCATGGCATAGCTAATACCTCTATTTTAGATTTCAATTTAATTAAACAAATTTTTTTAAGGACATACCTATAACCTCTCAGGGACTGTACAGTTGAAACATACTGATCCAAAATATAGCTTTGATTTGTTTTTTCTTCACTAAGAAAGTGTAATACCTGCTCATTTTAGAAATATTTAGAAAATGAAAAAATTAAAAATGGGTAAAATCACTTGTGGTAGTACTACTCAAACACATTTATTGGGTTGACCAAAAAGTTCATTTGGATTATTCCGTAAGATCTTACAGAAAGCCAGAACAAACTTTTTGGCCGATCTGATACTTTTAACAGCTTGTTATGTTTCTTTCTCTTGTCTTATTGTTTCAATGTAGTTATAAATGTAATTATTATAATGTATCCATCCCACTATCCCATTTTCCCAAGTTTATTTGAAATATGAGTGCTGCATTGTATAGACTAATCTTTGATGCTTGATCTTGAGCATTTTCCACCAACAGCAACCAGTTCTTTGATTCTCCAGACAATAGTTGGGTGTCCAACAGTTTAAGTCAATTCTGACATTAATTACATGGAGTTAATGTCAGACTCCATGGGTTAAAGGGGTCAGTCCCAGAAGACTGCCCATACTTCAGATGCCAGTCACAAATATCGGGTCCCCATACTTGAGACAACTGGCTATAAATCAAAAGTTGCCATGACTGACTCTTCAGGTTTGATAATTTGCTAAAATGTCTCACAGAACTCAGAAAAATACTTGACATTACCAGTTTATTATAAAGAACATAACCCAGGAACAGTGAAATGGAAGAGCTGCATAGGGCAAGGTATGCTAGGAAGGAAGATGGCATGGAGCTTCTATGCACTTTCTGGGTGTACCACCCTTCCAGCACCTTGATGTGTTCACCAACCCAGTAGCTCATCCCATAGGGGGTTATTATGGAGGTTTCATGATATAGGCATTATTGATTCAATAATTGGCCATTGGTGATTAACTTACTCTCTAGCTCCTTTCCTCTCCCTGGTAGTTTGGGGAGGTGGTGGGACAGAAAACTCCAACCCTCTAATCATCATGCCTTGGTCTTTCTGGTGACCCACTCCTGTTCTGAAGCTATCCGGGGGCCCGCAGCCACCTCTGGTGTCATTACCATTTAAAAGACACTTTGATCACCCTGGAGATCTTGAGAGTTTTAGGCAATATGTGCCAGGAACCAGGGACAAAGACCAAATATTTATTTTTATATCACACTAGATATAACACTTCTATGAGACAAAAACTAGTCAACATCAATAATATTTCAAACCATGAACTATAATTAGCATTCACCCCTGGTATGGAAGGTAGCTATCCAATTTATTTCAACAATGGGAATTTGGTGGGGTTTTTTTTTTGAGGGCCAGTTACTGATGTTTAGCCAATAGCTCATAACTGATTTCTTGGTTCTTTAGCCTATGTTATAGACATAGGTACAACATTGTTCTTTCTTGATTACTTTGATGACAAATAATTAAAAATTTTTAATTGCTTAGGTAGACAACAATAATAAGTAAAACTTAGCTGATACCTCATTCTTAAATTAAGTCAGAAGTCAAGAGGAACAGAGTAGTTATAATCTAATGTTACAGTTTTTCCTTGTTATTAAAGTTTTAGACAAAGTTTTATACATTCTCCACATTAAAAATTTGTCATATTTCTATTATAGTCTTGTTATTCTGTTTTATAGATTATTCCTTTTTTAAAAAAAACACAAGATCATGCTGTGTAGAAATTAACCATTTATTCTCTTAGCTGTAGATCCATAAGCATTTTCATACCACTAAGTATTATTCTTAAGTATGCTTTAAATTTTTGCATAATGTACCATCATACCACATATTGCACCTCCATTGTTAATCATTTTATATTGTCTCTAGGATTTTGGTATTATAAAGAATGCTTCTGATCAACATTCCTATAGTGCATTGTACACTATACACATCCAAAATTATTTTTAGGATGAACTTCTAGTAGTAGAATTGATAGATTAAAGAGTTGGATATGGCTCACACATTTGAGGTTTTATATATGAATGTTCCAAATTGTTGTACAGAAGGGCCATATAACTTTATGCTCCTGCCTGCAGCTTATGAGTATGGCCTACAATTCCTCTTGTCCTTGCCATTGTAGTCTTTAAAAATTACTTCAACTCAGATTTTATAATAGACCAGTGGTATAATAGGGAGTATAAGCGCCCTTATACTCCATAGTCTTTCAAGAGATCTTTGATTATTATTTATTCCAAAAGCTTGTTTGTGTATCAATATGCATTCTTCTGTAAGTTCCACAGCACTTCTCAGATACTCAAACTGGGCCATGACCACCACAACCACCACCACCACCCCCTCGTCCCGCCT